ACTTGAATTGAATTTACAAAATGGTTTTTGGACTTGAATTGAATTTACAAAATGTTTTTGGACTTAATTGAATTTATTCAAAATTTACAAAAATAATTCAAAGTTCTTTTAATTTAAAATTGAGCACAAAAATGTTTTTATGAATAGTAATTTACTATTTGAACAGTAAATTACTATTTGAACAGTAAATCACTGTTTGAACAGTAACCCGAGGCTCAAAAATTCCAGTTTGTAAAAGGGGAACCGATTCCCCCCAAGGGGGTACCGATTCCCTCACTGTTCATCAGCCCAACGGTCATAATATTTGAATATTATGAAGGGGTATCGATTCCCTATGAAGGGGTACCGATTCCCCCCATTCTGGGCAGCCTTTTTGAGTAGAAAAATCATTCCCAAACGGCTCCAAAACATCCCCAACGGCTATATACGACTTCAAACTCATTCCAAGCTATAAATACAAGCTGAGGACACTTGAAGAAGGTAGAGAACAACTATCCAAGCAATCAAACACAAGAGAAGAGTTTTTCAATCTTATTTCATCTTTCTCTTGTAAATATTTTGTTCTTGTGAGCTCAATCTTGTAAACACCTACCTTAGAGAGGTTTTCTTGTTTACTTATTTTATCCTTTTGTAAAGGGGAAAGGTTCTAGCTTATCCCGTGTAAAAGCTAGGGAAAGGTTCTAGTTTAGCCCGGAAAAACTAGGGAGTTTGTAAGGTTACTCTTTATCCTCAAAAGAAAGAACAAATTAGTGAATTTGTTGGAAAATCCTTGGTGAGGAGCTAAGGTAGTGGACGTAGACTTTGTTTGAGAAAGTCGAACCACTATAAATCGCTGTGCAATTCTCTATCTTTCAATCTCCTTACTCCCTAAACACAAAACCGTTCCGACCCCTCTTTGTAAATCGTTCCGGTTGTCGTTTCGAGCTTCCGAAAATCCTAACAAATGGTAATTTGGCAAGGAAAGATTTTTATTTTTTTCCTTTTTAAGGGAGTAACCCACGTGGATGAAAGGAAGAAATATCCCATCTTCCAGAGTCCTCTTTTTCTCCTTTCTTTTTCATACGTGGGAGCTCAAGGCAAAGGTGAAAGTTCTTATTAGTTGATTTTTTAGTTGAATTTTAAGTTTGGTTTTGATTATCAAGTGACTCTTAAGCTTATGGAAAGCTTAAATTGTCATAAAACAGTAAGAGGAAATGTATATAAAGGATTAAATGAATGAAGTGAATAAATGAAATCTTGGTTGAAAGATATTTATTAGATTTCCAGACCAAATTTAACTTGTCAAGGGTCTAATTAAGAAGTTAGAAGCAATAGAATTGAATTTGGAACATGTTGAAAATTTAGTGTAATTTTTGAATTACATATGGAGGATAGGATTTTGAGGTTAAAGAGGTGATTAATGAATAGAAATGAGTTTGAATATGTGTATGTGAGTTAAGAATATTAAAAGGGAATGAAATATGAAGAGTTGAGCTAAAAAGAAAGTGAATTTCGTGCTCTAACTGGAATTTCTGGGTTGTGTGATGTGCATCGATGCACATTCAATGTGTACCGAGTACTGATGCACTCACAAACAAATAAACATCAAACGCAATTAGTGCATCGATGTACCCTCTTAAGATAACATTGAATGTGAATTGTGTACTGATGCATAGATAGTGCATCGATGCACTCGTTAAGGGATGCATCGATACATACCTTTCATTAAGAGATGAAATAGCCTTTCTTTTAGTGTAAAAAGTGATAGTTTAAAACATATCAATTAGTATACTGATATGTATCAATGTATTGCTATATAGATTTAGAGCGTAATATTATTCCAGAATAATCGAGGGATTAGGATCAAATCAAAGCAAGCAAGGCTAAGGTGAGTGCATAATATAGGTATAAGGTAATGGAAATAAGATTTGCAATAAGTCTATTTCCGAGATAAATGTCATAGTATAATAGTATGAACATGCATATATTATAGTTTGGATTAAATGTGTGTAAGTTATATATGTTTACATATGATTCACCACATTATTCACCACATTTTATATGACTCATATGAATGTACTCAAATGCTTGTGTGGTAGAGTATGAGATGGATGATTATATGCATATATGTTGTTGAGTTAATCGATTGACGGAATTGGCCAAGAGGGGGGTGAATTGGCAATAAAAATTTTGGTGGAAGCTTTTGCAGAAAATTGAAAGAAATTGCACAGCGATTTAGAGTGGTTCGACTTTCTCAACCAAAGTCTACGTCCACTACCTTAGTTATCCACACTAAGGATTTTCCACAAATTCACTAATTTGTCTTTCTTTTGAGGACAAAGAGTAACCTTACAAACCCTCAAGAATTATACCCCAAATTCTTGAGAACACTCTCTCCCAAAGAGAACAATACAAATTTGCAAACTTACAAGGAAATCCTCACAAGGTAGATTGTTTGCACAATTCTAGAACAAAGAAAAGAACACTCAAGAATGAATACAATTGAGCACAATAAGTGCTCTTGAAAGCAAAATAAATATTGAATGAAAAATAGGCTTGAAATGCTCAAACTTGAGGTTTGATGCTTTCTCTTTGATTCTCTCTTGATTCTAGTTGCTTGATGTTTCTTGTTATTGATCAATGGCTTCTAAGCTTGCTTAAATACACCTTGAATCACTTCTGAACGTTGGGGATGATTAGTGGAGTTAATATAGCCGTTTAAGTGTGAAAACAATTAATTAAAAATAGTTGGGAGCATCAGTGCATCGATGCATACCCATGGTGCATCGGTGCATCCGTGTAAAATTCAAATATTTTGACCGTTGGACCCTTAGTGCATCGATGCATCAAGTGCATTCGATGTTTCAAAATAGCCAGAGTGCATCGATGCATGGCTGGTGCATCGATGCATCAAATGCATTCGATGTTTTCATAAAATTCTCAGTGCATCGGTGCATAGTATGTGCATCGATGCATGAAATGCATTCGATGTTCAATTTAATTCATGGTGCATCGATGCATGGATTGGTACATCGGTGCATCACTCTGAAAAATTGATTTTAGGCTTGCTTTTGGTTCAAAATACTTTGTGAAAATTGTTTCAAAAAATATATTAAGTATAAAACACAATTTTACCCATTTAATAAGGTTTGAAATTGATCTTAAAAGACTTGGAGTAATAATTTGATATTCGAGTAATTAAATCGAATATACTTTTAGAAAATCATTTGTAAAATCTTAAAATTCATTTAACTTAATTTGTTATATCGAAATACAAAAATGTTTTCAACATATGTTTATATGTTATAGTGAATGTTACATGATATAGATGTGTATATAAATTTATGAACTTATATGACTATGAAATATGAATGTGATATGTGCATATAGAGAAGACTGAGTGATATGATCTACGTTATCACATTTAATACGTGATTACATGCACTTGTATTACATGTTATATGATATGAGATAGAGTTTTACACATACATGTGGTATGTGACAGAAGAAAAGAAATATGTGATTATAAGATCAATGGTTACACGTACATGGGATACGTGACAGAAAAGAAGAGATATGTGTTTATAAGAGAAATGATATGAATAAGTGATGTTAATATGTGAACTGTTATAAATGATAATGCACATGTTATGTGATTTGAGAGCTAGGGTATAGTTGGTATGCCAAGAGTCGAGGGTTTACCTATGTCTTTCGAGACATATGGACATTTTACCTATATTCTATGAGACATATGGATAGTTTACCTAGGTTCTTCAGGACCTATGGACAGTTGTCGAGGTTCTTTATGACCTCTGGATAGGTCATTCGAGACATTTATACGACAACATAGTGGTGCACAACCTCAATGTACTCAAATACCTTAAGTTCTCAGTAATGTACATGAGCCTATAAAAGATATGAAAAGAGTTTGTATGATTGTATTTTATCATGTTACCATTGCTTGTATTGAATCACGTATGCACAGGGATTAAGAAGGAGATTAATAATGATCTATGCATATTTATTTATTTATTTATATGTAATTTGAGATGATTTTGTTTGAGATAATGAAATGAGTATAGATAATATGATATAATAATATAGTATGTCTATATTGTTACATGTTATAAGTGTATTATATATTTTATGATGCCTCACTAAGTCTGTGACTTAGCGTGTAAGTGATTTACACGTAGGTACCAAGAATCGGGAAGAATAAAAATAGGAATGGCAAGAACAGCAGCACTGCTAGAAGATCAAATCAGAAGTAACTGATAAAGTATGTATTTTGATGGTGTATAGTGTGTTGCCATGTAAGAAAAGTGTTAGTTACAAATGCTCCGATCATTTTTTGTCTTGTTTTGGTTAACTTGTGTAAAGTAACAATGTTATTTTAATGAAAGTTTTAAATTTCCTTGATTTTCATCAAGTGTCAAAGTTTGAAAAGTCAATGTGACACCTCAGACTCGTATCCGGGTCGGGTACGGGTTGAGGGTGTTACATACTTACACTAGTATAAGTATGTATATCTCTCAATATTTTAGAAACTAAAATTAAACACATAATTATATTGGTGTAAATATGTTTTAATATTTAAAAAAATAAATATAATTAAAAAATCTATTAAGTTATTTGTGTAAAAATTTTATTAAAAATATATAAATTAGAAATAATAAAAAATATGTTTTGTATGAACTTTCATTTGTTAAAAAGAAAATCTATCTCAAGGACAATTTGGTAAAATATAAAATTTTCTTATCTTATATTCATTCGTTCAAACATTATAATCTTATATTCTTATCAAACAAATCAAACAAGATAATACAATATTCCGAGTAATGTGCTAAATAATGTAACATTCTAGTAATATTTTTCCCAATGATAATCTTACATTCCGTGAACCATATTACCCTAAAAGGTTATACTAGAGTACGAGAACAATTCAGAAACCAAAGTCCCAAATACATAGAAAACGACAGCTCCTTCCCCTTAGCCTCAGATGGTTATTGCTTTTTTGGTAATCATCTCTTCTTAAAACCATATTTATTACGTTCATAGAACAAGTCGGTTCTGGCATTGCCAAGGTTGATGATTTTGGGGCAGCCATCTCGGTCCTTCTCAAGCTGAACACACTCTTTGCAGTAGTATGCATCAGATATTCCTGGTCCTCCACAGCTGACACATCCACCCTGCAACGATCCATAGTTACATTCGTCACATACCCGCACAAGCGTGCAAGGTCGCACCAAAGAGTCGCAGATTACACACTTACTGTCACATTTCTCGCAAAGCCGTCCAATGGCAATACCAGGTTGTTTCCGGCACATGATCAAATCAGGATGGTGCTTGGCCATTGTAGTAATCAACACCACCTTCCCCTGTATATAAGTAATACAATTCAAAAATGCCGAGAAAAGGGAAAAGGAAGAGCGAACCTGAAAGAATGAGAAGACATATCTGTGCTTGTTTCTGCTCCCTTGGTTGCTTGCCCTCCACGTTACTTGGTATTGTTTCTCAAACTTAAAATAGTCTTATAAAAAACAGTAAAATGAAAAAAAAGAAATTCCAAAGAAAGTAAAAAAATAACAACTACATATACAATTTTTATTTCTCGCCCGCCAAGTTTTGACTTTAGAGCAGATATTTGATTTATTTTTTTATAGAATTAGATGCTGCGTATAATAATTATTGGAGTTAGATTTAGATACAAATACAAAAACACAAAAGGATAGTTTAACATTATATATATTATATCATTTTAACCTAAAAGATTTCGAGAATTAACATGAAGACATGGAACGAAGTAATATCTTAACAAACCCATCATTTTATTATCATTCATGCAAAAGAAACGTATAAGTATCGTAAACTCCAGGAATCATTATAGATAATTCATGTCATGTAAGCGTAAGAGTAGCAGTAGATGGGCCTTCACTATTTTAAGTCCAACAGTTTTCAAGGGCAATTGTGGGCGTTGGGGTTCCTGCCGCAATACTTCATGAACATATTCTTCAGTGTTAAGGCCGACACCGACAGGAATTCTGTCCCTATTGGCTACCAAGATTCGGCACATGCAAGCGGCTGCATATGATAGATCCAAAAATATTTGTTACGAGACATATATGTTAATAATAATAAAAAATCGTATGGAATGGACAAAAATAAAATTTTAAGATAGTTACCTTTAGTAAAATGAACGACTAATTTTAAGATAGTTACCTTTAGTAAAATGAACGACTAATATAAAAAAATTAAATTTTTAGAGTGAACACAAATAAAATTTCAGGATGGACACCTTTAATAAAATAAACAACTAACGTAAATAAATTCGGTATCCAGGGTGCCCACCCTGGGTTCAACATGCATCCGCCAGTGGCATCACTCAGGCCCTGAAATCGTTTACGGCATTCGCTGTTAGGGTTTGGTCCCGCCCCAAAGAACGCCGATGTCAGAGCTGACTGGAAAACACCCAGATCCTGAGGGCAGTTTGGATCAGTAGTTAGAGAGCTAACCAAACTTAAAAAAACAAGGTTGAGGGAAACAAGGAAGAGAGTTGATGCTGAAACCTTGGAACCCATTTTTTCGAGAAGTTTTCTTGGATTGGTTGTTGTATAAGGTGTGGTGTGAGAGAGCAATTGGGTTGCATGGACAGAGGGTTTTATGGGAAGGAGGGTGGCGGGGTGGTCATCTCGAGGAACTACTAGTAATTAGGGTAAATTATGTAATTGGTCCAAAAAATCCATTTAATTTAAATATCGTTGTTAAAAAAATCCTGTATAACGAGGAACCAAACACTGTGGACTAAAATTTAGTTTAAATGTGTCTATTTTTTTATTAGTCTATAATGATTATATGATAATATCTATTCGAAAGACCTCTAACTATTTGATAATGAACCTTTAAATATCTCTACAAACGTCGTGCTCAAATTCATTATCTCTAAGAATAACAATTATACTTAACCACTGAAGTCATTTAATTCGTATATTTAAATGATTAATTTTAACAATAATTGTTACTTTAAACAATTTTTTATCACCACAATTATTTATCATAATAATTATTATTTTACAATAGGTTATTAATAATAAAATTTCATTTGATATATATATTTTTATATTTTCTACTTATGATAATTATAATACTTTTATAATTTCTTACTCCTAAATTATTAGTATAACTTTCTAAAAATCCGCATTCCTAATATAAAATTCAACACTATCCAACTCTATAAACTAAATTAAAACTCTAACGTGCAAATTAACGTTTTATTTAAAATTTAAACAATTATTAAATGCTACTTTCAATAAGAATTTTTAGCCAACGCGTTTTAGTTTGGTAGTTGATGTTGCAATCGTCACATGACATCTTTTGATTAAGAAAAATTAACGGTCACGTATGGTTAAATTATTTTGTAGAATTTATCGGTGCTTTAAAATTGTTTATGGAACAATATGTTATATTGGTCTTTAATCTTCACGTCTAGGTTAATATTACTTTTAGTTTTAAATAGAGACGTGGATGTTATTAATAGTTGCTAGATTTTTTTAAAGGATAAAATGTATTTAAAAAATATTTTGATTTTATTTTTATTCTCGCTATTTGAATTTTTATATCAGAATTATATTATATTTATTGTATTTTATCTTTTGTTTAATGAAGGTTTAATTTATTGTTTTTTAAAAATATAGATGTATATTATTTATTATAGATGTAGATGTTGATATAGTTGTGTATTGCCATAGGTCTGCATAAACCATAAATGGTTATTTAGTTGTATATAGCCTTAATTTAATGTTATAAAGTGAATTTGATAAAATTGGGTTTCGAGTCCTTAATTTGCCTAATTTCTTCTTAGACTTTCCTATAAGAGTACCATTTGTTGGACCACACAAGGGCATGAATGCTCGTAAATTAGAACATATTTTGAAGATCACGGAACGAAACACACAACTGTAAAAACTAACACGGTTAAGTTCAGACATAACAAAATATAATGTTTGGAATCTACAAATGAACCCATGTTCTGTTTAGCAATTCCAATAAAAATGTTTTTTTTTTCAAATTGCAACCCAGTAGTGAGTAGAACTCCTCCATTTCAGCATCATAAATAACAGGGAAATATGATATGTAAAAAGCACGACGACAAAAGGCTTTGTGAAAGGCAAAGATGCTACCGAATGATGTTAGTTTTATGCGAGCGGCTAATCAGCCTTCCGAAGGAGGATGGAAGTCTGAAACCTGGCGTCATCCCTGATGAAGCTCCACCACAGGTAGGTAAGTGGGATAGTTGTGGCATGCCATATAGCATGGGCATCAAAGAATCCTTGATATGGAGGAAAATCGTAGATCTCCAGAAGCATCGCGAGACCTCCTCCAATGACCACTACCCAACACTTCCAACGACTAGGATGGCGAGTGACACCAGCCCAAATTGCCCAAATCAGAAGTTGAGCAATCCCCATCACTACACAAACTTTCATGTTCCACCCTGTACAATGTTTCGTACCATGTAATTATGCCCGGTAATGCACGGAAATCATGTACCGAGCATTTAAACCTTGAACCAACCAAATGTTAGAAGTAGAAACAAACTATCAAAGAACAGAGATCTTACCGTAGTCGAACGCGTAAAAGTTGAGGTACAATATATGGGTAGTCACAAAGGCAAGAAATGGAGCAGCAACCATTACTCTAGCCGCCTCAACTCTCACATTGAAACATCTAAGTATGGCTAGAATAAGAGAGTACCCAAGAAGTGACACAGCGGATGAGTAGTCTAGTTTTTCTGTCAATTCCACATCACTGTGGTTCAAAAAAACATGCCACTGTCATAATTGAAACAATCATTAGGGTGAGCTTAGAGTTTCTAAGCATGTGCGTGATTTGTGATTAGGACAACTAAGCCAAATATTTTGCAATCTAGATAAAACATCAATGAAAATGCAACATAACCAAATGTGTGCCAATTAACAGAGAGAATGCATTCATCAAAAAAAAAAAAAAAAATCCAGCTGCAAGGCACAATGACAAATTACATTAATTAATGGATGCCTTAAGCTAGACATCATAATGAGGATACGATCTTCTAAACCTCGCTAAAAGTTAAAAACATACCATGTCTAATACATCTGACCGTGACAATTGAATCCAAGCACTTGCAACACAGAATACAGACTTGAGTAAGGAGAGGGAAGCAAAAATAGGTTCTATTTAGAATGCCAGTTTCAGGATCTGATTTTGATAAGGCAGTACTGGAGCAAGAAGCATTTATTCGCTAGATTAATTTTTTGCAGTTCCCCTTGTAACATCGGTTTATGATTTTAATCAACAAAGCAACAAATAACGTCTACTCTAATGTAGCAGACCAATATTTCTATCTCAAAAGAATCACCCACAATATTGATGCAAAGTTCCAATCAAACTTATCCTCATGGGAAATAGTGGGAGAAGTGAAGAATGGAAAAATGATTACCGACTATGGAAAACAGCACTCCAGAGCCATGAGTTCATTGCCAAGAGTCCATATATGTTCCACAAACTTGCAAATTCATAGTATGCCTTCTTACCTTGTCTTAAAGGCAAGTTATAATAAATAAGTATGGAGAACGATAGCCAACCATGAAAATGCATTGCTAGGTTGAGTGCAGAGAAAGCTACGGAAGCTGGTTCCTGAGCAAATTAACAGTGAGGTCAAGACGGATACTGCAAAAAGAAAACCATAAAATTCCATGAAAACCAAAAATATGTTAATAGGGTAACAGTAAAGAAGCAAACCTGAATTCCAACAACTCGCTTGAAGGGCCATTTACCATGATACTTGACAGGTCCATTACCAACTGCTTCCCGTTCTTTCTCTCTGTCAACCATGCAATTGTAACGGCAATCACTTTGGCAATCCCATTGTTTCCACTTCAAGTAAAGTGGTTCTTGCATATACCATGGACTATCATTGGCAACATCATCAGAAGGAAACTTGCACTGTGGAAAGCATCTTCCCCCAACACATCCAGTTTTCTCACATTCTGCCACACAAGCCCTAAAGTAAAAAGCAATCCATGTTTAGACTACTTAAATGTCTAAATCAATTCATAAAAAAGGGGTATAGGAATCAGGATTAAATTAGTTTCAAGTCAGTGAAAGAATGCGGCATATTGAAATTTATAACAAGTAAAATGCTAGCCTCATTTCAAATTACACTGAGAATTAAGGTGTGAATCAATCTACTTTATTCATTCATCATTTATTTCCTTTCTTTCTTTCATTCTCCCTCTCTCTCTCTTTCTTTAGACAGCTTTGTAAAAGCTTAATGCCGGTAGAGTAACACCCAAATCAGTAATATATGAGTATTTCTTCTCCAAAATATAACTTTCCCAATGATATACACCTTTCAGCTGACTTTAGGTAGAATCTACAAACTGCTGATGGCTTCCACAAATGCCCAGAAAATCAGTAAAATCAAGACTTAAAACCTAGGGAGGCTTATAAATAATCCTAGACAAGCAATACTTACAATTCTAAGAGGTTATATCACCTAACACATTTATCTTAGCACACTACAAGTTAATGACCAAAAATACCACGTCACTCCTGTATCAGCAGCAAACTCAAGTATTTTTTTTCTTGTTATAATCTCCTTTTCAAGAAAATGGCATTATAATCGTTCATTATTCCAGGAATCAATCAACTAAATTGTAAGAAATTATCCAGAAAAACAAATACCCTATAACAAAGTTGTTAGTTTCAGTGAGGTGCTAATCTTGATAACTTATCACCTCAGATAGTGAACTAAGATTTGAGTGTTGTTGAGTTGGCTTGTGTTAAGGACTTTAGGGCGTTCAATATAATATCTAATCTAATCTAAATAAGCTTTCAATCACCTGAAAGCTTGCTTTTTGACCACAAAGATGAGTAAAATAACTTCAAATTCTTCTCTCATTAAGATCATTAGGACTAATAGAAGAAATACTAGAGACTTAACTCGCTGACACAAACATTTGCAATCAAAAAGAACTTTAATTGTTGTGACCAACATAAGTTTGTCCGAGACATGAGAGGAAATTACTCTTGATCTAACCAAGGGTCATGCCAAGCAATCAATTATCAACCTTAATGAGCTCCTTCATTAACATGAAGTGCCTTTAACTTACAGTCAAACTTCATACTATATTTGCAAGTGCACATTTTCCACGTGTTTTCAAAGCCGCTCCTAGTTACATCCCAAATTTTAACAAGAAACATCGAAATTCCTCATTTTACACATGATCAATATAAAGGACATGCCCCTGCTAGTTAACCAAATGAATGGTATAACAGCCAGTGGAGAATCCCTAGTTTATCTATTTAGATAGAAACAAAAACCCATCACAATAAAGCATCCATTGCATTTCTTATTGAAGGACATGCCCTTACTAGTTAACCAAATAAATGGTATAACAATTATTTCTAATGAAACAACTTCCAAACTAAGATCTAAAGTAATATGCATGTCTTTGCAGTAGACACCGTAAGGTCCAAACTTTACAACACTTGATAAACTCTCAAGATCCTTCAGCATTCTTATCTAAAATCAATAACTAAGCATACTTTTTAATTGAAACGAACACCAAGTAATAGCAACTTCTCCAAGATAATTGGAAAATTAATTCCTTTTCCTACTATAAACAAACTTGTATGAAGCATAAGCTAAAATTAGAACATTAACACGATAAACAGAATAAAAAGGGATAAAAAGAAATATGGGTAATGAAGGAAAAATTAAAATAAAAACCCCGAAAAACCTGTAAAGCGGATCAGCATCACCAGCACTGGCATCCAAAGCACCAACAAGAAACGAGAAAACCAGAAACAAAGCTATAGAATAACGATATATCATCATCTGATTGATAAAGTACGATTAGCGAAATGAAAAATATCAGAAACCAAGCAAATGGAGCTTATAAACCTTTTGATGGGCAAGTTTGAAATCTGGGAAATTTCGGTTCCAAAGAAAAAGGAAAAAGTATTTGAAGAACATGAAGAAAAAAAGAAGAAGAAAGTAGTGAGTGAGTGAAGAATATGAATGAAAATATAGCAAATTGTTTTACCTTTTGGTTGGAGAATACAATTGGGCAGCCTGGTAAGATTGCAAAGTTAGATTATAATGATAAAACAAAGAAATTGAGAAATGAAAGTCGATGGCTGAAGCTGACTTCCTTGGACTTTTCAGTAGGCTTTTGGCAGGGTATGGGCATTCAAATAGCAAATTAATGTTTTCAGGCCCAATTATAATTTTATTGGATTTTGGAATGTTTGCTTCTTTTACCTTAATTGGGCCTTTCAAAACAAATTCCTAACTAATAAATTTTATTAGCCAAATGATTTTGGTGACGAATGAATTGTTATTATTTTTTTAGGTTTCGAGTTCGAGCACCAAAAATATTAAGAATGTGAGTATTTAATGTCAAGTTATTGAGAGTCATCTTTGAACAAGTATTATCTTATACTTGCCTAAATTAATAATAAATAACTAATAATTTTATAATTAATAATAAATAACTAATAATTTTATAATTATTAGTATTTGACTCATTGATCGTCTGCTATTGTTTTATCTTGCTAAATTAGCTCGTAGTTGATGTAAATTAAATGATTAATAGATAAAACAAAAACAAATCCCCACTTGGTGAAGCATGATTGGGATTAGATGTTAAGAAATAATATACTATTAATGTGTCATCCACTACTCCATAAGAGAAAGAAACAAATTCAATTTGTTTATTATTATTTAAAATATTATAGAGGGCTTATCTTAAGCTCTGCTATATATCTAATTAAACACGTGCTTGACAAGTGACAACCTATGAAGGAAGTAATTAAATATTTTTAAGAGTAAGTTTATATATATTAACTACTAGAATTTAACTTAAATTCAATTTGGCATAAATTAATTAAAAGAAGATTAAGAAAAGTATCTATCCTTATAATTTTTTATACGATGTGACCACAAATAAAATTCAAGTGAATATAATCAGTAAAATAGATAATTAATTGAAGAAAATTTAAATTTTGGGATGAATACTTATCTATCCTAAATAAAAGTAATTGGATGTAATATATCAAAGGAAATACCTTAAAAATGATATTGTTGTTGTCTTGCAAAATCAAAAGTGGCTTCTTGCCATTGTGAAATTCTCAACTTGAGGATGAGTTGCAAAACTCCCAACTCCTATAGACCAACTCTAACGTATTGCTGGAGTGGCTGTAATCTCCACTTTAGAGAATTTCAACTCCAGCTCATCGTCACTTTAATGCTGGATTATAGCGACAGCTACAGTTGCACGCTACAACTGGCGTTGCACTGTAGCTGCACTACATATTATTATATATATGTTTTGTTATTTTTCTGATTTTTTATTTTTGTTATTTTTTTTACTTTCTTTTGTTATTTTCTTTTTCTCTTTTCCTTTTCTTTGTTACATTATTTTCTCTTATTCTATCTTTTATGTTTTTTTATTATAATTTCTACACAATAAAATAAAAATTAAACATAATATAATAAATTCAAGTAGATTAAATTGCAAGATAGATAAAAATACATTGAAATTAGATAAATAAACATACTAATTTTTTGAAATATAAAAACTACAACAAACATAAAAACATAAAAAATACTAATAAAACTCAAACATAGAAAAGCAGAGTTAGTGGTAATGTACAGATCGTGCTGGAGATGAATTACTGTTTCATCTTTAGAGTAGACATAAAGTTGTAGAGTATAGATGAGGGCTGGAGACGGTAAGAATAGATAGATTCTATTAAATAACCACAAATACATGACCGATATGTAAAGGTTGGATGAAGCATGTTGATATAATCAAAATTAAGAACCGGTGTGAGTAGAGTTGATCTTAGCAAACTCAAGTGGCTTCTTTCCGGCGAGTGCATTTTCAAAAATGTTGTTCATATAATCACCAAACACCACCTCTCTATAAAGAGCAATTCCATCTTTCTCCACCACTTGAGGCAATGGTGCAATCTTCGCTGTTTCTATCGGCATAGCGAAAATGGGTACCGACACCCTTGAATTTGTGCTTGAGGGACGAACTACATGCTCTGCACTTCTGTACTCTCCATTGCTTAGCACCTGCTAATACAACACAAATCATAAACTTGTTATTATCTAGGTTCAAAGTTGTTCGAATTTTCAACTTAAAAAGGTCCCGAAATTACTTGTAACATATCGCCAACATTGATGACCAGTACATCGGGAGTAGGAGGGATCTCTATCCACTGTCCTTCCTTTCCGTAATCCGAATCTTCTTCGATTTTTACATATAAACCACCAGTTTCGTATTGTGACAAGACAGTAAGAATACCTATATCAGAGTGACGACCAATCCCGACAGTGAGATCTGGATTAGGACATGGTGGATAGAAGATCATATTGATCATCGTGTTGCCGGTAAGTACATGAATCATCGAGTCATCCGGTTCCATCCCTAAATTTCGCAACAAAACATGAAGCAATTTTTTCACCAAGTTCATTGAAGACCTCAAGTACTCAAGTAGCACGTCCCTAGAAAAAAAACATATATAAAAAAGGGTCAAATATATTTTTTTAAAAGAAAAAAACATAAAAACTAGCAATTAATTTATCAAAATCTCACTTCATCTCTTCAGGCCAATATTGAAGAGCTTCGTTATCATCAGTGTATTGCATGAGGAGATAATCTTTCCATCCTAATGCTTTCTCTTTATCTGGTCTAAAGCTGGTGCCGTACTTCACTAGTGGAGTTGGACTCACAGGTGCAAGATAAACGGTTTTCCTTTCGAGGGGCAAGCTGAAGAATTTATGTGCGGTGTCTTTAATGGATTCGAGTAGATGAAGAGGGACTCCATGATTAACAACTTGGAAGAATCCCAGAGTCTCTGCGGCTCTAATGATTTGGTTGGTCACTTCATCGAGGTGAGGGCCATGGCCGTCCAGCTTCGACAAATCGATGGGCGGCAGCTGGAGTTTGATGGCGTTTTGCTTGTCTATACGTTCGTTTGGCGGGTGGACGTAAACCTCTGGCACCTTCGCAATGCCTGAATCCACCAATCCTTTTATACCATTCCCTTCTTTCACAACGAATTCAAAAATAGATTTGGCATCGTCCAAATTTGGAGCCATTGTCGGTGTAAAAGAATGTGAAGAATATAGTTGGACGAAAACCGGAGTGAATGCCTCGTTAAAAATAGCGCAGAACAGTGCCGGAGCCACAGATTTTGTCAGGGTGGATTTTGCTCCTTCTAAATCTGAAATTTTTTTAATTAATTATTTATTTTATTGACGATGATTACTCTAAAATTTTTTGTATCCTCCTTAAAATCTGACTTTTCATCGATTAATTATTTGTTTTATAGACAATGTCCACTCTGAAATTTTTTTTATAACCATCACATTTAAAAAAATTTATGTTATTAACATATATGTGCTCACCCTAAAAAATACTTTTGTATCTAATGCAAAAATGGTTAAAGTTTCTTCTACGTAAGATAATTGAGAGTTGTCGTAACTGTCATTCGGGTGGGCCCAGAATCGGGTTTCGACTTGAATTAATGTGTTAGAGCCGCCAACAATCATCTAAAATTAGGTTGATTGGACACCTTAACTTACCATTTATCTGATATGTGTTTTACCAGAAATTAATCAGATTCGGGAGTCGATTACAGTCAAGGAAAGATTAACACCCTTGTAATACCCTTTCGATACCAATTTGATTTTCCAGTTGTCTTAATTGCAATAATTAAAAGTTAAATTGAAATTTAAAAGTTCGATCCGAATTACTTACCTTTGAAGAATTTTAAAATTAACCTAAAAAATAAATCAAATTAATGTTAAATAATAAATAAATATTAAATAAAAGAATAAAAAAGGAAAATTCAAATAAAAAATGGACTAAATTGAAAAGAATTAAAAATCAATGATCAATTTGATGTTAATTAAAAGCTGCAAGGAAAAAACAAAAAGTTAGGGTCAAATTACAAGAATACAGAAAATATAACAGGGGTTACCAAAACGAATTACACTTCAAAATATCAGGGACTACGAAAATAATTTATCTTTCTTGTAATTACACTAAAGATCTCCCTATAAATAGCCCTAAAACCTTAAAAAAATTCATTTAATATTAATTCTAAAAAAATTCCCTATCTCTATTTCTTCTCAACCAAACCAACCGACCTAATGGTCGGCCACCCTTTGGTGGAGCTCCCATTGCCGCCATCTGTCGCGCAGACCACACCTCTGGTGGCCGAAAAAAATACCAAACTAACCTAAAATGCTCCCTCAACACCCCGAAGCAAGATCCAAGCCCCAAATCCAAGAAAACGCCTCCATCGACGTAGATCTAAACCAAAAGGTATCGGATTATACCTTTTTTCGACGTGCTCCTTCGTTCTCTGGCGACTTTTGGCTTACCCGTTGCCGTTCTTCCCTCCGCCTAGTAGCCTTCGATGAAAGCTTTGACTTTTTTTGTTGTTGATGATTTTAGTATATTCGAACGTTTTTTTTCCTTGGTTTGCTTCAATTTGCTGTGTGTTCTCAGTTTTGGTTGTTGGATTCCCCTTGCTTCGATGGCCCTCGGGGTTTATATAACCCTCCCACCGGTGGTTGTTTCCAATTATCCCGGGATGGTTCAGTCCCGTTTTTCGGTTTAATTAAACGGTTTATTACTGCTCGTTATTGGCCGACTATTTCGAGATGGTTCAATCCCGATTTGCTTTCGATTTTGTGATTTTCCAGTCGAGAATTTCGGTTGGTTGGTGACTTGTTTGGCGTGTGCCCACCATGTGCCATTGAATGGTGACTGTGGGTCTCTTGATGTCATCTGAATAGTTAGATCAAGGGGCTAGATCTCACGGCCCTCGTGCGACTGCGTATGTGATATAATTTTTTAGAGTTTTATAACCCTAACTGCTTTCAATCTAGATGTTTGATTCGCGCTTTGATCCAACGAATGTAAGCCGTGCGACACCCTAGCTTAAGTACGAAACTCTAGCTCACTGGGTCAGGCAGTTTGAACTTCAAACTGTTGGGCTCTCGCCGGGTTTACTGGGTCAAGTTACCCGGTTGCGCTCCGTTTTTAGACCTTGGACTTTATTAGACCTGAATAATTAATTAAATAAATAATATATATAATATATATATGCTATATAATATAATACTATATAATAATACAATGCAAATATATATATATATATATATAATATAAATATAATATAAAATATATATATATATATAATATAAATATATAATATATTATATATATTATATATAATATAAATATATAATATAATATATATATATACTATATAGTATTGTACTATAACATATATATATATATATACTATATAATATAATATATAACATATATAAAATATAATACTATATAATATTTTATAATAATATATATGCTATACGCTATATATACTATATAGTATATATGTAAAAGGTCGGACGAAAATGAATATCTACAGCTGCTCTTCTTTGCCCATTGTCATGTAACGGGAATAGGGCAAAGATTAAAAGACACTATTTTCGTCTATCATAAATGGGTCTTCGAGTCTAACATCCTCCATTATGAGGGTTGATTCCAATCTTATCGAATATCCTCCGTTATAGAGTTGAATTTCGATATGAAAACCCAGGTTGTGATTGGTTTGTTGTAATCAAATTGAACTGAATTACGGACGACTCCCTCGTCGTGAAGTTGAGTCGATCTTCAGATGACTTTTTGCATGATATCCTTCGTCATGAAGTTGAAATCGTGGTTGACCCATTTGTTGTAAAGTTGAGTCAATCTTGGATGTTTCGAGCATGATATTCTTCGTTGTAAAGTTGAAATCTAACTCGACGCCTGGGCTGGGCAGTAATTCCTCGCTGTTGTTCTTGGATCGTATTCTAATCCAATAGTTCTTCGTTATTAGGTTGAACTATGTTGTTGATAACTTATTCATTGTGAATTTGAGTCAATATCGAAAGTCTTAGGAACGATATCCTTCGTCGTGAGTTGAAATTGTGAGTGACTCATTCGTCGTAAAGTTGAGTCCAAATCGAATGTGCATTTGAGCCAGTTATCATTCGTTGTGAAGTTGAAATCCGAGCTTGGGTAAATTGTATTGGTTTTAACTTCTAGTGTTCTTCGAGTTCAATATCCTTCGTTGTGAAGTTGAATTTGACTCTGACATAAATTTGTAAAATTTGTACACATGTATGCAATATGATTGAAGCAATGTTCTTATGCATGCCTAAACTGCATGTGCAAAATATATTATTTTTGGATTTTCTATTTTAGAGATAAATATCAATATCTTTCTGTCTGTCTTTAGTTTATTGATTCTGGCCAATCCTGATTTTCTATTTCTCGGTTCTTGATTTTCTGATCCTCAACGGGTTGTGCTTTGACACCCTCTTTGGGACATTTGTTAAGAAATAAGTCTTGATTTTCTTCTGTAAACTTTATCTTGATACTTAATCAATTCTTTTTCCACTTCTTAGTGTATTTCAAACTAGTATTTGTGTCATCCTTTCGAGCACTGTGCAAGAACTTCTATCGGCTTCCGAACACCTGTACTTTTCAGGAAATCTTTGTGTAGCAATACACAATGATCTTTTTCAAAGCGAATAAATTGCTTTTATTTAAATTCAATGCAAGATGCTAAGGAACTAATTTCTCTCAGATAAATAGCCATATTTATTTATGTGGAGAAATAAAATACAAGACGAACATTACGAAAAGAAAAGATATTTAAAAATACAAATAAGTGCCCTAAATCTCAATAATATGGACGCCTTTGAACTGGTACGCCGTTATATGACTTTGGGTGTAGCCTTTGTCAAGGGGACTTCAAAGATTGTGACAACGTTTGGAAAAAACAATGTTACTCCCAAATTATTAAGTCTCCGAAGACTTGGATGCCAATGCTTTATTACCTAAATCCAGGACCTCCCTGTGCACGAATCTCGAATCATTATCCAAGCCGCCCTTTCAGATTTTCAACTTGGATCCTCCCTTGGTTTCAAGACACCCTTTGCGGGTTTTCATCTTGGACACATTTTTTTGTGTTTTTCCTTATTCTTCTTTCAATTTTTTTAATTTAGAGCGCCCTTTCGGGTTTTTATTCTAAACATTTTTTTGACTTTGACTTAGGGCACCCTTTTAGGGTTTTCACCCTAAGCGAAATATCTTTTGACTGCATCAGATTTAATGGGATTGGGTAGTTTTAGCCCGTCCATTTCAGTCAAGATTAGCGCTCCTTCGGAGAAGGCATTTTTCACGACATAAGGCCCTTCCAATTCGGCATCCATTTTCCTTTGAAGTTTTTTTGGACTTGCCAAATATTTTTTAGCACGAGATCTCCTTCATGAAATACTCTTGGGCATACGTTCTTCTTGTGTACTCTAATCATTCATTTTCGGTAGAGTCAACCATGGTGAATGTCTTTAAACCTCTTTTTGTAATATCCCAAAATCGGGGATAGTGATTAAAATGAAAATTTTAAAACTTTGAGGTCTGAATTTGAAAGATTTAAAGTTTAGGGACTAAATTAGAATATTTAGTGGATGATTGTTTAGTAAATATTAAATGAAGTAAGGGGTAAAATGGTCTTTTTTAAGTAAGGATTTTATTTCTCCCTTTATATAGGAGAGCAACACGTGGAAATGGTGAAAAATGAAAGAAAAATCTGGAGCTTGGGTTGTCTTCTTCCTCTTCTCTTCCCGTGGCTCTATTGGCAAGGTAAGTTGGTCTCAAGTTGGTTAATTCTTTCGTTTTAAAATAGGTTTTAATTCTTGGAGTGATAGAAAAGCTTAAGGAAAGCTTAAGAGTGCTTAAAACTCAAAGAGGATTAAGTTATGTAAGATTGAAGGTAAAGAGTTTTTAAAGGAATTATTGAGATAGAGTTAATAAATAAGTTTTGAAGTGAAATTTGACTTGTCAAGGATCTAACTAAGAAATTCGGAGTGTTAGAAATGAATTTAGAACATGTTGATTTATTGGCTTGATTATTGAATTCAAGTGTGTATGTAGGATACTGGAGCTTAGAATGAATTAAAGTGATATAAGTTGATTTGAATAAGTATAATTAAGTCTCAAGAATTAAAAGGAGGTTATGGAAGCAAAATTAAGTGAGTTTAGTATGATTTTCGGGCTTAAAAGTAAATTCTGGGCAAA